TAATCGTTCTTTCTTTGAAATACTTAGCCAAATTCACACGTGCTTTATTAATATTTTTGGTAACTTGTTTGTTTGTAATTAAGCACTAAGCTACACAATGGGCTATCGGTGCTCTGCCCACCACGGGTATCGAAACCCGGATTCTAGCGTTGTAAGTCCGCAGACATATCGCTGTGCCATTGGGGGGACATTTTTGATAGCACCGGCTGGATGTAGACCAATATTCTCGCGGTTTACTTCTAATAATTATACTGGTGATCTTATCTTCATGCATGTGCTGTGTTTTTGCTTTTGTTTCCGAGGATGCTTTGAATGGATTTAATGTTGGAATTATTTTATTATTTCTTTAAACTTCCAGCTGCAGGAAAATGTTCTTTGAATCGTATTTGAGAATATGCTATGGATTTTTCTCTTATTATGTAAAATATTAAGTTGTATTCGGTTTTCAATTCACAACAGCTCTCAGCGGTAAGCTGCAGTCTTACGAAACTAAAAACGGGGTTTCGATACCTGTGATGGGCACAGCACAGACAGCCCAGTGTGTAGCTTTGCTCTTAGCAACAACTTAACCAGCTAACGAATGCATATTAATAAATTTATTTTATTCTCGCCGGATGACTCCCACGTCCGGGCTTTGATCGTCGCAACCCCCATTATCTCTACAAGGATGAAAACAAATCTTCATGTTTTTTGGTGCAGTTTGTCATAGTTCATATAAAGGTGATATGTGCACCTCTCAGACACCTCGAGGACTAAAAAAAAAAAGTTGACTCAGCGCAGCCAGGTCGTGACCCTATGAAAACCTACTTGGGACCCACAGTTTGAGAAACATTGTTCTAGGTCGACAGAATTAATATATTAATTTTCTTTTCAATACAGTTGACTATGTCGTGCTCACTTGATATAATTTACTGTGCCTTACTGACCTAGAAACAGTGTCAAGACATTTGAAGAAAATCAATTTAAATATAAGACACGCTTCTATTAAATTCAAGAAACTAGGCCTAAAAGAAGTACCTTACACTTTTACTGTAATGAAAATAAAATAATTAAAAGAGATAAAAATTAAGTTATATTAAATCAAAACTCTTCGAATTAAGACATAATTAGGCTTGCTGAAGTAAACGTTTACTAAAAGTCATAACGTTTTGTCCACGTAATGTCTGTTTATTTGTAATTAGGCACAAAACTTCACAATTGGTTATCTATGCTGTGCCCATCACAGGTATCGAAACACAGTTTTTAGTGTTGTAAGTCCGCAGACTTACCGCTGTGTCACCGATTATATTGATGCTGAGGAGGGCATTTTAAAATCTGCCCCAGGGCGGTAAAATATCTAAATTTAGTCTTGGTGATGATAGTTATATGAAATTAATAACTGTTGTTTTAGCATAGAAAATGGAATGAGAGAGACGACGTTAAAATTTTGCCAATAGTGGTTCTCATTCTTGCAAATTTTTATCCCAAAATTACTGTTATATCGTCATTATTTAGGCTTCAACTTATGATAGGAACTTGCACATTCCCTTGGAGTTTCATATTCCAATGTTCCAAGTGAAAGGAAGTGAGGAATTCTGTCGTGAGTTTCACAATGGAACTAAAACAAAACTTACGTAGTAGTGTTATGATTAACTATGAATGATGACACCAGAGGGCCGTGGTTTAGGCAGTGGAGTGTTAGAGTGAGTGTAATTGGTCCAAGAGGTAAGGAGTCAAACAAGAAAGATTAACTTATGATTATATCATTATTTATAGATCGTCCTAATTCTTTCAACAGTGAACAAAATATACAAAAGTGCTTCTGAAATATAATCCAAGATTATTAATTTATACATAAAAAGGCAGGCCCTGTTTCTTTAAATACAGCGGAGCTAAACAACAATAACAAAACAATATTAATCGAAACATTTACCCTTCTTTTGGATCTTCTACAAAACCACTTAATAGCAATGCATATTTTTTAACTCTACTGGTTATTGTAATATTTCACAATGGCTCAGCGGTACGTCTGAAGCAGTGAAGGTTTATAGCGCCAAAACTCGATAGCTCTGGTGTGCACACCACAGATAACCCACTGTGTAGCTTTCACTTAACAACAAACATGCAAAAATAATAATTGACCTTTTGGTTAGAATACATGGTAATAATTCCTAGGAATTCATGTAGATTTTAATAAGTATAAATTTAGAACAATTACTAATGTCGTTATCTTATTTCACATCATCGAAGTTCAGTTGGTCAAATACTGTTCCAATCCACTAACGGAAGCACTGCCTATGTAAGGATGGCTCGGATTCTTCATAGAAATGGTATTTTAAATATCTCCTCATTAGAACTTTACAATACTATACAGTGTTTCCTTTTATAACAACAGCTATGTAATGACTGAGTCACAAGTTCTGGGAATGTTTGTAAACATCATAGCCAACAGTTTGAATTACTTGTTCTTCTTTATTACATTATTACTCAAAACCAAAACAATGGAGTCAACCAATTTCACTGAGGTGACACAGTTTCAAACAGATTATCCACTTTTATAAGTATTATTAATAACAAGTAGTAATTAAAAACAAAAATTATAATTCTAGTGTAAACGATGTTATCATTACCCCTTGAAGTCAGCTTTCTTACAGGAATTTTGTGTTTCTTTAAAAAGCTTAAGTACAGGGTGAAACAGGAATTACTAGCTAATAATAGATAAACAATAAATATTACAGTTGGAACCTCATTGTATTTAGAACTTGGTTATAAACACAACCTTCCTATGTCTATTGAAACACTGTGTTAGAAAAACAAGTAAAGAAAAAACTTTTCAAAAAGTGAAGTAAATGTAGGGATGGCTAATACCAATCCTTCAAAAACAACGGAAAAAGATAGCAGGGATGGTATTTGCATTATCCCTACATAATAGCACAGGCAAGATTTAACATATAGCAATATATGTTCCTATTCAATCACAACTGAGATTTTTGTCTGTTAACATTCTACTACACTGTGTGACTGTGCTATTATGTAGGCATGACACAAATACCAACCCTACATTTACTTCCTTTTGTGAAAAGTTTTTTCTTTACTTGTGGTATTTTAAGATAAAAAATCCATTTCTCTACCGGCTGTCTGGACCTTGGATGATAAACGAAGAAGATACCACGAAAACACAATCATAGAAAGCTCAGTTTGAAATCGAATCGATTGCGTGTATTAGAAGAATCTATAAAACATTTTTTACAATGATTTATCGTGTCATCTGAACCTGAGTACAGATCCATATTGTTGAAACGTTGTTATCTATAAAACATTTCGTACAAAGGCTCATCGTGTTATATGAACTGAGTATAGATCCATATTGTTGAAACGTTGTTTCGTTGGAGGGCTCTTTCAAATTATTAGGTGAAAATAATTCAAAGTCCAGTTTCACGTAAACTATAACTTATAAGGAACTAGTTTATTTCCCCTTTAACGTTTTTACAAGCTTGAACACCTGTACACCGTCATAAATTGTTGTAGGCCTATATTAAAAATGAAATTAACTAACCTAAAACGAATCAAAGTACTCATACTAACTAACACAACATGCACGATAGCAAACACAGATTCAGTTGCTTCACGAAAATACAGTGGCTGACTTAGTTCTCTATCTAGAAATAACTTTACAGTCTTCACAACTCTCTCGTATTTATAATCTAGTTTCGAATGTACGAGAAAAAAATGACTTTAACTTAGGATTTTCTAAAAATTCTTTGCATTCTGCGCCCCCTAGCTAATAAACAAATTACAAAATTAAATAAACATAACTTACAACAATACAAACGCATAAACTCATTCTTTTAGGCCTGTGTATCTAACTAATACATCATTATTTTACAACTAGTATATGTTAATTTATTTAATGGATTTAGCTAAACAAATCACGTCCTTCAGTGTTTGTTTTATTTTCAACCACATTGATGTCCATTTATCAAGTATATTTTCGGTACCGAAAATTCCCTAATATGCGATTTTATGGGGACAAGCTTATTCTAAAAACATTCAAGTAATATATGGAAGTGATTTTCTGTAAGAGGTTTTGTAATAATTATTCAAGAGATATTTTATTCAATTCAAATTTATTTCATAGATAAGTTGTATTTTCTTTCTTTTCGAAAATTTTTGTTGGTGTGAATTATTCCCTCTTCCCGAAAGCCGCCTGGAGGGTCACCTGTTTTAACCACTCGCATAACAGTACAGTAGTGTGCTGTCTGTCAGTCAGCCAGTCAGTACATACTAAAATGACGTCACAAAAGGACGTTTAACGTTGCAATTTGTACTGTCGTGACGTCAGTAAAACGTGCACGTACCATGAATCACGAGAAGAATTATGCACCCAGTAAGCTACAACATATCAAGACTTATGAACTTCAAATGCAAGAAATAAATATATTTGTTATTGTCAATTTTGGTTTTATTTACTCTTGAAACAGAACACTTTCGAAGACCCTGCGGAAGTACATCTAGTAATGTAGTTTACACTTGCAATCTATTTTTCATGCATTAATGACTATTAACTTCCACAAGGATTTTAAACTAATCCGCTAAACTTGATTAAGGTCATCCATTCCAACTTCTACACCACTAACAAAGTTAAGAAGCCTTGGGACAACTATTTTCACGCATATAAAATCAAAAGTTTAAGAAGTCTATTCTGTTTAAGCAGTTGAATGAAAAATAAGAGGATCCCAAAACTTGTTGAGTCGGGAAGTTACCCACTGTCTATATAATTTATGTTATACCATACTAACAACTGTTTAAGGTAATGTTTCGTACTGCTAGGCCCTTCTGGCCTAATTTGGGCAACACGTCAATACATATGATACTGATAACACTGCGTCAGTCAGGTTATAATCAAGTGTTTTCTTTATTAGTTTATACAAAATCGTAGTTAGTATAAAGACATTAGTAAAATACATTTTATTAAGCAACTAAAAACGTTATAAAACCGATTAGCAATAACAAAATCTTACCGTTGTTGCGCTTACTAAACATGCAAATAGTCCAAACAACCACAGTAAACGTAGCCAAATCATAGCTCCAGAGTAATAAGATAAACAGGATTAGGCGAATAAACTTCTAAAGATAGTTATTGTTTTCGATAACTGTAATAAATGCTACGATTTAACTTAAATATCAGCGTTTTTAACGCCTAATTCCCAGTTTAACACGTATTCACCATCTAACTGACCTAGCTAAGCCTTGTATGGTTCATCCGTCCCGTTTACGGACGAGGGCCTCTCAAGAGCACCCGCCTACAAAGAATTGGTTTTCTAGCGGCTACTATCACTAACGCTTTTTTTGCGTTAGTGGTGTCCTCTATTAGTAAAAAATGCAACAATTCACTCAACGACAACCATGATAAATAGTTTTCTTAAAACGATGTGTATATATAGAAGTATCTCTTCCACCTACTAATGCGTCTACCAACAAAACACTGCAGTTGTTCAAAGTTCATGGACCTACAACTAGTAGAAGGTAAGTGAATATTGACAAGCTAGCCGTTGAACGTAAAATATATATTAAATTATCTAAAAGCTTTGATTACGTTTGCTTAAACTAGTTAAATATAACTTACAACTACAAAAAATCTCTGAATAACCTAAACATTAAAGTAACGAAAGTGGCATCTTTGTAGAAAAAATATAAAGTGACAAACAGTAATCTACGAAACCACTTGAAAGTCGACCCTGAAAGCAGGGGTGGTCATGCAATTTTTCCTGGACTTTTTGGTTTTAATATACCTGTTCAAATATGTAAATTAGTTTTAATGACTGATAGGCCAATAATTCTTATCTTATAAGTTTAGTACTTTTGATTCAGTCACTACCTTTGATGTTATAAATTCAGTACTTTGATTCAATCAGTACGTTTGATGTTACGTTCAGTATTTTTTATTCATTCACTACGTTTGATGTTGTAAGTTCAATATTTTTTATTCATTCACTACGTTTGATGTTATAAGATCAATACTTTTGATTCACTCACTACGTTTGATGTTATAAGTTCAGTATTTTTTATTCATTCAATACATTTGAAGTTATAAGTTCAGTACTTTTGATTCACTCACTACGTTTGATGTTATAAGTTCAATACTTTTTATTCACTCACTACGTTTGATGTTATAAGTTCAGTATTTTTTATTCATTCACTACGTTTGATGTTATAAGTTCAGTATTTTTTATTCATTCACTACGTTTGATGTTATAAGTTCAATAATTTTTATTCACTCACTACGTTTGATGTTATAACTTCAGCACTTTTGATTCACTCACTGCGTTTGATGTTATAAGTTCAGTATTTTTTATTCATTCACTACGTTTGATGTTATAAGTTCAGTACTTTTGATTCACTCACTACGCGTGATATTCAAAGCTCAGTACTTTTGATGCAGTGTTTGAAAACAAAACTGAAACCAAGACAGTGGAGACTTAAGTTCGAACTCGTTGGAATTGAAACATTTCTGAAGTTTAAGAGTAATGTTACGTCTCTGGTCGTTTGT